TGAATCCTGAGAGGGCAGGTTCTTTTGGTCTCACCAAAGCATGTGACTTTGCAGCAGGGCTGGACACGCCTCCAAGCCTGCTTTTGCAGGAGATTTCAAAGACGCCCCAGTTTTCTTCTTGGTAGATTGGTTGTTCTCCAGTCCTGAACTAAAAGCGAGTTGTCTATCCTGGCTCATCCTCCAGCAAGTTGCCTAGCTCATGAGTCTGGTAATTAGGATCCTGGTGCAGCTTAGAGCTCCCTTAGGGTGAAGCGGGGATGGGCAGGGCGCCCCTTTTTGGCCACTGTTACTCACAGCAGGTTACCAATTTTCTGCCACCTATCTGCAAGGGTAGAAATAGTCACTTCTGAAATCAGACAACACTGTGATTTTCAACACTATGCAATAATGATTCCTGTCAGTGAACTTGACTTGGAACCCTTATTGGAACCCAGTGTCCTTGCTGTCTGGACTCTTCCCAGCATATCATGCTGTGTCTTATTAAGGCCAAAAGAAAGAAGGCAACATTCTCATCTTTCAGTTTCTCCCACCTGTCTTTCTTGCTGCTCGACCTCCAGCCCTCTGCCTAGGTGAGGCTCCACATTCCCTGGGCATCCCAGCAGAACCACTGCTCCCCACATTCAGAGTTTTCTCTGACCTGGGCTACCTCCCAGTGGAATCTTTTTAAAGAGAAAGTGCATCCTCTCCCTTTCATATTGACATTTACGTTGAAGGTGTTTGGGCTACCTGTCAGAGACCACCAGTGTCTAACTGCTTAGGTCAGTCAAGGTCTTAAAACAAGACTCTTGTTCCTGTCTTCCCTTCCATCTGTGAATGGGGTTATGACGGGAGAGAGGATATGTTTTTAAAGATGGTTTTAAGGTTACTGCTAGAATTATGCATGCATCTATCTCTTTGCCCCTCCCCACCTCTCAAAAAAAGGACACTAGTTTGTGCTAGGAAAATATTACATAGGAAGACCAAGACAGAACCACAGAATGAAACCCATAAGAAAAAAATGAAATATGTTTGTATACCCCTGTTTCTTGTAGCATTATTCACAATAGCCAAAGGGTGGAAGCAATTCAAATGTCCACTGATGGATGAAAGGATAAAGAAATTGTAATATGCACTTCAACAGAATATCATTTATCCTTGAAAAGAAAGGAAATTCTGACATGCTACAATGTGGCTAAACCTTGAAGACATTTTGCTAAGTGAAATAAGCCATTCACACACCAAAAAAGCAAACACGATATGATTCCACTATATGAGATACCGAGAGTGGTCAAACACATTGAGATAGAAAGCAAAATGGTGGGTGCCACGGACTGCAAGGAGGCAGGAAAGCAGAGTTAGTGTTTAATGGGGACGGAGTTTCAGTTTTGCAAGATGAAGCATTCTGGCGGTGGACAGTGGTGGTGGTGGCACATTAGGAATGTATTTAGTACCACTGAATTAAACTGCACATTTGGAAATTATCAACGTGGTAAATTTTGTTGTGTGCATTTTACCACAATAATTTTTTTCCTCATTTAATTTTTTTTTTTTTGGAGTTGGAGTCTCACTCTGTCGCCCAGACTGGAGTGCAGCGGCCGCTCCCGGTCACCGCAGCCTCGACCTACTGGACTCCGGCGATCCTTCTGCTTCAGCCTTCCAAGTAGCTGGAATTACAGGCGTGCGCTACCACGCCCGGCTAATTTTTTTTTTTATTTTATTGTAGAGATGAGGTCTTACCTGCCCAGGCGGGTCTCGAACCCACGGGCTCAGGCAATCCACTCTACCTCAGCCTCCCAAAGGCGTGGGATTACAGGCTGAGCCACCGAGCCCGGCCTCTTTTAATTTTTATTTAAAATTGTGGGGTAAAATTCAGGGCTAGGTATACAAATATTCGCCATGCAGTTACCCTTATCAATGAGGTGTGACTCCCCCCTTCCCCAGGCAGATGTCGACTACTGTCAATCCCACCTCCCCTCTCCCCACCCCCTCCCTGCAGTTTCCCTCCACTTTCAATCCCTTTCTTATAGCAATACAGTAGCTGTTCAAGGTCCACTTATGAGTGAGAACATGTGATACTCAGCTCTTTGTTTCTGTGAGAGATCACTTAGTATGATAAGTTCTAATTCCATCCAAGTTGCCCAATTTTTAAACAATGAGAGAACTCATAAGACAAAATAGTCAAATCAACATTGCATGGAAAAACATCTCTTTATGTATCTCGTTCCCCTATTAGGTCGTGAGCTCTTCCAAGAAAGGAACTCCTGGGATCTCTCCATCTTTGTTACTCTAGCACCTATCTTAGAACCCCAAAGATGTTATATTCTCATTAAGTGTTTAATGCACGGTGGCAGTGGTGTGATTACATTAATGCCATATACATGAGCAGAGTGCTTTCACATGCATAATTTTGTTTGGTTGTCCTCACTGTCCTTGAATCTGATGGTCCTATCCCATCCTCCAGAAGACAGCCACACTCCAGGCCAGAAGGACCGTTCTTCAGATTCCAGGGGTCTCAGGTTCAGTCAGAGCCCAAGTGATGACAAAATTCAGTGGACACGCTTTTAAGGCATATTTATTATACACCATAATTTTAGGAGAGAGATGAAAATGACATGGAAAACTGTGGAAAGCTCTTTCCATGTTTTTGAGGGCCTGTTATGTGACAGCACAGCGCTGAGACCCTGAAAACTTTTATTTACCTCATTGAATAATTCCCAGCCGGACGAAGCCTATGTCAGTTCCCCTTTCCAGAGGAACAAACAGAGGCCTGGAGGTTATGGGCTCATTCGAGGTTAGATAGTGTTAGAATGTGGTAGCCAAGTGTCACCCCGGGCCAGACTCCAAAACCCAGGCTACCTCATTTCTGCCTTTTTCAATGTACAGTGGCTAGTCATGTTGCAGACTCACGGTTTTAGGTTTATTGGAGGGACAACCTGTGACAAGGTACTTGAACAAAGCTCAACCTCCTCATCTGTGAAATGGGAGTAATAACTGTGCACTCCTGAGGCCGTTTTCCACGTCAGAGGAGATAACGCTTGTAAGAGTGCCAGTCCCCCGGAGACCCAAAGGAAGGCTCTGTGTCCTAGAGGGGGAAGACATGACCTGGACAACCGATAAGACCTGAGCTTTATTCAGGAACTTACATACAGGGAAGGTGGTCCGGAAGTGGCCAGCTGGACAGGAAAAAACAAAAACTGCTCCTGATTTTAAAAGGCACACAGGTAATATAGCATTTTACAAGGGGCAGAGCATGGGGTGAAGTATGCGAAGGGTAGGATTTCTAGGGTGTAGGTGTAGTGTGAAAAGATGCCTCTGCACATAACACATGCATAAAAAATGACTGTGATTGCTTTCTAGGAGTGGAGTTTTTAGCATTCATATTATAGAACTAAAGGTAATCAGAGGTTATTGACATTGATCTAGGTGTGCCCAAGCTGGTCTGAACCAGCCTGGGATGGGGGGCGACCCCCTCAAGGAAGGGTGTGCAAGAAAACTCACTATGTATAGCTGCAAGATGTGGTCGGCGGGCATGACCTGCGTGCCCAGGCATGAAGCCCGACATCCACGTTGGCCACCCCCAGGACTCCTCCTCAGGCTCCAATCCCCAGCTTGGGGTTATATCCATGGTGTGTTCACGTTGTCACTGAGTGCGTGTCGCCCTACAAGTGTTTGGCCAAGGTGTGTCTCGTAAGTATGCAATATGTTTTAGCCATTATACCGTGATGGAGACACTGACCAGACTCAAAGTGCCTTGGGAGTACCAGGAAATGTATATCGGCCTTGTGTTTATGTGCTTACAAAGGCACTGTCCATTTATATAATGACCCATGCTATCAGTGCCAAAACCCAAGAGACACTACTGCTCTCCTTATAAAATAGTGTATTTCATTTGAAAGACAGTGAGTTATGCAATTTCTCATGTCTCCCCTTTGGCCTTCGCTGTGGGAGACTCACCCTTAAGCTGTGATTCATCTGTGCCAGTGCCATCTTTAGCCCAGGTTTTTTGGTTCAGTGATTTCTCCAGCTTATTATTTGCCTGTTTTTTTATTTTTAAAAAAATTAGTTTTACAGGCTATTAACTGTGTTATTAACTATAAGCTACCTCAAATTTGATTGGGTATAAATTATAAGACAATGCTCATCATAATTTAGTGTCAAAGTTGTTTTACTAAATTGTATGGAAACAAATCCTTCTTATAAGAACTTGCATGGTAGACAAGCTATTGTCTTGTATTGCCCAATTTTCTAGATAAACCAGTCTGTAAAAATTAGTAACAAGTAGGTTAAACAAATTAACATTGTGATGTTCTCTGGATATATCTCGACACAAGAAAACTTATAAACACACTAAAATGTGCTTGGCAAGGGAACCAGCATCATCAAAACCAGTGAAAAATAAAAAAGTACTGAGAACTTGGGGACAAAGAGGAGAAATGTGTATCTGACTGTAGTTCTTGGTCTCCTTCCTAACAGTGCTCTGCAGAAAACTTTCTCTTTTTTTTTGAGTTGGAGCCTCACTCTATCACCTAGCCTGGAGTGCAGTGGCCGCTCCTGGCCACCGCAGCCTCGATCTGCTGGGCTCTGACGATCCTTCCGCCTCAGCCTTCCAAGTAGCTGGAACTACAGGCGCGCACTACCACACCTGGCTAATTTTTTTATTTATTTATTGTAGAGATGAGGTCTCACCAAGTTGCCCAGTTGTGTCTCGAACCCACGGGCTCAGGCAATCCACTCACCTCAGCCTCCCAAGGCGCAGGGTTAAAGGCTGAGCCACAGAGCCCGGCTTGCAGAAAACTTTTACATAGTGCTCCTGCAAACTTGTTTTACACGTCAAAGAAGCCTCAGATGTATTGAATAAATTGGTGATTGTGTTCCTGCTAACAAGGAATGTGGAAATGTGATCTCACACGCCCCCTCCCTGGTTGCCCTGTAAACATTCCGGTGGTGACTTGTCACACAGAGATCTTTGAGGTTCTTGTCCCCCTCCAGAAGGTGGAAGCCTACACATTCTGAGAGGAGTTACAGATGTAAATTGTGGTCCTTCTTTTCTTTCGTTTAGCCAAGCACATCCTTGTCTTTAAAAGACCTTTGAAACGGAGTAGAATAGCTTTGAAACGTCAGTGGACTATGCTCAGACTATATGGGGAAGGTATGTTCTGATGTTTCCTCCACAGATATAACCCTTATCAAAATATAATCTGTTCACTTGGTCCACACCCAGTGAGTGTCTTCATTAGCCCGGCACTGCGCTAGGTTCCAGGGAGAAGGAAATGCATCAGCTGTCCTCCAAAGGCCTGGGTTAACTTAGGGGGTCAGACTCATAAACAGATAATTTCAGAGCAACGTAACAGGGATGTAGCGTAATACCTGTCAGGGGGCACTGGTGTGGGTTGAAATGTGTTCCCCAAAAGATACGCTCAAGGTCTGACCCTTGATACCCGTGAACGTGGCCTTACTTGGAAATGGGGTCTTTGCAGATGTAGTCAAGTTGAGATGAGGTCGTCCTGGATGACTCGGCCTTAAATCCAGTGACTGGTGTCTTCGTAAGGAGAGGTCTGAAGGTGTGCGCACAGGGAAGAGGGTCATTCAGAGTGATATGGTCACAAGCTGAGGAGCTCTGAGAATTCCCAGAATGACCAAAAGCTGGAAGAGGCGAGAAAGGATTCTCCCCTGGGGCCCTCCAAGGGAGCATGACCCTCTCAACACCTCGACTTTCTGCCTCTAGAACTGGGAGAGAATAAGTCCTGTTGTTTTAAGCTGCTCAGTTTGTGATCCTCTGTTATGGCAGCCTTAGGAAAGGAATACAAGCACCAACATAGCTTGAGGGGCAGACCAGGAAGTCATCCTAAGAGAAGGTGATCTTGACTTGTGTCTAGGGTGAGGAATTAGGAGTTTGCCTAATGGGAAAATTGGGGAGGCAGCATTCGTGATCAAAGCCACAGAGAGGTTCCAGTAGTGGGAAGTGGAAGCAGATTCATTTGAAGGATGAACTTGAACCCCAGGAATCCTGACAGGTGTGCTCAGATTTTGCACCTTTTCCTGGTCTTCTTCTTGGGAGAGAAATGTGTCCCTCGCATTAGACTTTTTGAAGAAGCACGTGGCCCCCACAAGTCACAAACTGGCAACTGTCAAGGGGACTTGGCATAATCTGCCAGGCGATGGGGGCTGTTGGGGTTACCAGTTGGATTGTGACCTTGCCGAGGCAGGCGGTATGGGGAGATGAACAGATGCAGTGAATCAGGGCCTTGGTCGCAAGATAAAGCTCTACTTGTTTTTCCGCTGGACATTGGAGGGGAGGGGAGGAAGTGCCTCCATTTCTAGTGTGGGTGATAACAGCGTGGGGCCACCGGCTGAGATGTTGGCACAGGAGAAGGAAGAGGAGAGCCAGGAGCAGAATGGATCGGTTTCCTTTTGAAAAAGCCACCTGAGGCGACTTGGATGCAGCTGGCACTATGGCTGGGGCTCGCAGAGGGGATCTCACCCTCCCTCGGCCCGATTGGTCTATTGGGTTTGGGAAAGGGATGCAGAGGAGAACAGAGGAGGTCAAGGAGCGAATCCACCTAAGAAAGCAAGACACGGTGGCCAAGAAGATAAAGACAGTTAAGGAGGCCAGAAGTCAAAATATGGAAAGAAGTCCAGAGGAACTAGGTAGCCCATAGTGTCAAGTCATTCACCACAGAGATGATGAATTGAGTTTAAATTTTAAAAGTGGGCCGGGCTCAATGGCTCAGCCTGTAATCCCAGCACTTTGGGAGGCTGAGGTGAGTGGATTGCCTGAGCCCGGGGGTTCAAGACCTGCCCGGGCAACTTGGCGAGACCTCGTCTCTACAATAAATCAAAAAATTAACCAGGCATGGTAGCGCATGCCTGTAGTTCCAGCTACTTGGAAGACTGAGGCAGAAGGATCACAGGAGCCCAGCAAGTCGAGGCTGCGGTGGCCAAGGAGCGTGACACTATACTCCAGCCTGGGTGACAGTGAGACTCCAACTCAAAAAAACCCAAAAAAACAAAAATGTGATTCTCTCTGAGAAGCATCTGTCTTAAGACACTAAAAAGGAGTATTGTTGAAAGTATGCTGAACATTGAGAGTAAGCCTTGACTCCTATAAGACTAGAAATGAGGGAAGGCATTTAAAAAATCCCAACAAATGGGATTATTAGCATACCTTCTCTGCCTGCAATGTGAGTGATGTAGATATGAACATAATTACCAAACAAACTGAAGGCCCGTGCATTTGTCATTTGCACATGACTTTGATGGATTGATTCATTAGGCAATACATGATGGTGCTTGTCTGCTGCTGTCGTAGAGACAACTCAAGCCATATTGGGCCACAGGTAGGAACTGAGTACTCTTTAATTACATCCTGTGTTTCACTTAGTATTCTACCTGCTAGCCTCCAAATATGCTGGGTGTTTCTGCCTTTTTACTTTATCCTAAGCGCTTTCTGCCTTTTCTTTTGACCTCAGCTTGAGCTGTGCCACCTTCTCTCACCCTCTTCATCTTTGTCTAAATCTACCCCATCTAGCAAGACCATTTCAAGCGTCCCCTCCCTCCCTCTAATTTTCCCGTTCACTGGGTTGGTTGGAAGGACTCTCTTTGGGGCTTATTGAGGCCAGGGATGAGGTAGCGAAGCCATGACTTTCTTTTAGAGTTCTCATCTTTGTGTCTCAGTCCAGGGCCTCACATACCCTGAGCTCTGTACAAATTCCTGCTCCACTGGAGTCCATTGCTGAAACATGCACCTTCCTCCGGGGGAGGAAACCTAGATTTCAGAAGTGCTTGGCCCAGGGTCTCATGGTGTGTTTGATTAGTATGGCTCACTGATGGTTGTGGTCTCTAAGAAGGAACTTAGAGGAGGGAATGGTTTTGGAGGTGTGACTCAGGCTGCTCAAGACAGAAGCAAGTGCAATCCTTCCAACTATCTCAGGAGAGAAGAGCTCTTGGCACACGTTAGTGAGTTCACACAAGCGCCAGGTACAGAGGGCCAAAGTGCTGGGCACCAAACAACCCATCCATTCATCAGCAGTGCCACCGGGTGGTTAATTGGGCTAGTTTTTAATTACTTTCAAAATAAAAGCATGCTGACTTTTGTGATGGTCTTCTTCTAATTGGAACCATCGGTGAAAAGCCTCACTGGGATCCTTATGCCCACAGATTAGGTGTGGTTTTCTAGAAGTCACGGGTTGGTTTTTGAATCAAAGCATTTTGGTTCTCTAATGGGGCCTCAGACTCACCATCTATAAGGGAGCCGATGGGTCAAAGACCAACAAGTGATTCTGGGCTTGAGCTACACAGGTTGTCCTAGGTTTGCTAAAGCACAGGTGGGCTGAACCCTACCCAGGCTTCTCATTCAGTGGGTCTGCAGGTCAGTACACAGGACCTGAGAACATGCACTTCTAACAAGTTCCTTCGTGATACGATTGCTGCTGATCTGAGGGGTCTCACTTTAAGAGCCCCTGCTGTTAAACAGCAATGAGGTAAGAATCTGTCTCAGATCTTGGGTTTCTAAGAAGCAGAGCATGAGGCAGTGGTTGAGGGCATATGGAAGTACCATAAGAGAGTGAGGGAAACTGATGGGGAAGTGGCAAACAAAGGTATTATCTTGGATAAAGCCTGGTCTTTGGTTTATGTTCTGCAATGTGAGCATTGTCTTGGCCTTTTGTATTTGGTCAAATGTGGAGGATCATTCTCAGGGTGAAGCTGTGAGCCGTTGACAGCCATCCCCTCAACAGCTGGGCAGCTCCCCAGCAACGAGAATCTGGACAGGGCACAAACAGCAACCATTCCATGTTCTAATTTCCCAAGTGGGGAAACGGAATCAATGAGATCAAGTAAATTATGCAAAGCCACAAATCGAAAATTTGAAACTGGGCTGCCAGACTGCAGAGACAAAGCTCTACCGGGCATAGGTTCTGCGTTGCCTGGGATATGCTTACCCTCTGCCAGTTCCTTTAATCAGGGCAGTGTCACGATGCAGTTATGGCTATACTGTTTTTGTAGATTCCCACACATGTATTTTTAATGCTGCAGCCACGTGATTCATAGGTTTTGATTCCTTTCTTTTGATAAACAGTTGCATGGTAAACATTTCCCATGTTGCGATGTGAAGTTTATATTCATTATTTTAAATGCCCGACATTATATTCAATACACCTGCCTAAATCTCCCCAGCTCATCTGTGGTGGGTAGAATAATGGTCCCTGAAAGATGTTCACGTCGTAATCCTGGGAATCTGTAAATATGTTGCCTTACTTGGCAAAAGGGACTTTGCAAATGTGATTAAGTGAATAAGCTTAAGATGGGGAGATTAGCCTGGATGATCAAAGTGGACTCAATCTGATCCAAAGGTCCTTTTGAAAGGGAGGCAGGAGGGTCAGAATTAGAGAGCTAGAAGTGAGGATGGACCCAGAGGTTGGCGTGATTTGGGGCCGTGAGCCAAGGAATGCAGGCAGACTCAAGAAACTGGAAAAGGCAAGGCCAGGAATTGTCCCCTAGAGTTTTCAGAAAGGAATGTGACCCGCTGATAACTTGATTTACGCCCATGCTGGACTTCTGACCTCCAGAACTGTGAGATAATACACTTGTGTTGTATAAGTGTATGGTCATTTGTTACAGCAGCTGCAGAGACTCATACACAGTCCCTGCATATCTGATCATGGTAAGTTTCCCTCCTCCTAGCTAGAGATGAGACATCTCTCCAGAGCTAGTGTGTGTTGCATGTTGTTATGCTCTGGGCATTGCACCAAGTGCTAGTTAGTTCTGTCATTTAATCTCTTTCAGCAACTCTATGAAGTAGGGACTATCATTATTTTCATCACACCATGAGGAACTGAGGGATACTGAATAGCTTTCCTAAAGCCACATATGTAGCCAGAGCTGGGTTTCAGGTCCTGGGACTCTGTGTTCTGATTCCAGTGTTTTCCTGGCCACTGATGCCATGGTGATAGTGACCACTTGGACTTCGGAGAAGGCTGCTTTGATCCCGCTCAGGAACAACGATAACGGGTGATAAACACTCATCAAACACTAACTCCATACCACATCCCTGCCCAATGATGGTACCTCACCGTATCTTTCCATATGGTATCCTCAGTGCATTGGTGGCAAGGATGCATTTTTGCAGGAGGTGTTATTGCCTGCATTTTATGGATGAAACTCAGAGAAGGTACTCAACCTGTCCACTGCAAGTCAGGCCCAGCCGGAGGCAGATCTAGACTATCTGACCCCCAAAGTCTGTGCTGGCTCCAAAGTTCTTAACCATGCACAATGCCATGACCAGAGCCAGGTGATTTCTGTCGTCATCAGCATTATCGTCCGTCCATCGTGATGTATCAACTCTGCACGGGAATCCATGAGACCTTTCAGGACTTATATTTGTGCTTCATGAAAAGTAATCTGTGCACATCATCTTAGATAACTGTCTCTGTTACTCAGTAACAGTCATAGATGGAGGCCTAGCCATGCATCTATTAGAGCAGATAGGGCTCACTATCACCCAGGGACAAGATGAGACATAGCCAGGCTTTGGATGGGTCCGTGATGGCCCTTGAAATTCCCTTGAGCCGTGTCCTAACCCCTGTGCAAACTTGCCAAACTTGAGAATACTGAGCATATCGTTTTCCACATCAAATGACAGTCATGCTTTCCTTAAGGATAGGAATATGATCTGAGAAATGAGTCATTAGGTGATTTCGTTGTTGTACTTAATGTAAATCTAGCTGATATAGCCTACTACACACCCAGGCTATATGGTGTTGCCTACTGTTCCTAGACTACATACCTGAATGCCATGTGACTGTATTGAATACTGCAGGCAACTGTACCACCATGGTAAGTATTTGTGAAAACATGCCCAAATGTAGAAAAGGTACCGTAAAAATACTGTGTAAATATAAAATAAACACTCTGTAAGCTATAAGAGATAAAGAATAAAACATCTATATAGAGCACATACCATGAATGAAGCTTGCAGGACTAGAAGTTTTCCTGGGTGAGCCTGTAAGTGAGGGGTGAGTGAGTATAAAGTGCTATACACTACTGTAGCCTTTATAAACATTACACATTTGGGCTACACTAAGTTTGCTTAAAAGACGAAGTGTGCTGTGACATTAAGATGGCTGCGATGTCACTTGGTGACAAGAATTTTTCAGCTCCATTATAAGTTTATGGGACCACCATTGTAAATGCAATTCATTGTTGACTGAAACATCTTGTGCCACATGACTAGGTATCTAAAATTTTTCATAGACCCTTTTGATGAGTTGATAAAGGTAGGACTCTAGTTTAAAGAGCTACTTTCTTTTTCTTTTTATTAATTTCTTTATTTATTATAAAGATGTGGGGTATAATTCAGGGTTAGGTATATAAACATTGATCATGCAGATACCCTTGTTGGTGAGGTATGCCCCTCCCTCCCCTAGTAGTTTCCCTCAACTGCCAGTCCCACCCCCGCCTCCTCTGACAGTTTCCCATTACTGCCAATCGCTTTCTTATAGCATTATAATTGTTCAAGGTCACCTTATGAGTGAGAACATATGGAACGAGCTTCTGCAAAGCAGAAGAAACCATCAACAGAGCAGGGAGACAGCCCACAGAATGGGAAAATATGTTTGCCAACTGTTTATCTGACAAAGGCCTAACATCTAGGATCTACAAGGAACTCAAACGTGCTGAAAGGAAAAAAACAAGCAGCCCCTTTAAAAAGTGGGCAAAAGACATGAATAGACACTTCTCAAAAGAAAATATATGGACAGCCAACAGACACATGAAAAAATGCTCAGCCTCACTTATCATCAGAGAAATACAAATCAAAACCACACTGAGATAGCTACTTTCTTCTTCTTCTTCTTCTTTTTGAGTTGGAGTCTCACTCTGTCGCCCAGGCTGGAGTGCAATGGCATGCTCATGGCCACCACAGCCTTGACCTGCTGGGCTCAGGTGATCCTTCCACCTCAACCTTCCAAGTAAGTGGAACTACAGGCATGCGCCACAAAACTCAGCTAACTTTTTGATTTATTGTAGAGGTGAGATCTCACCAAGTTGCCCAGGCTGGTCTTGAAGCCATGGGCTCAGGCAATCCTCTCACCTTGGCCTCCCAAAATGCTGGGATTATAGGTGTGAACCACTGCGTCCGCCCAGAGAACTACTTTCTTAACTCTCTTTGGTCTCCTCAGTTGGGAGCCATACAATAGCCCTTTCAAATATCACTTTCCCTGGAATGGAGGCAAAATGGTTACCCTGGGCTGCAGAAACCAGGCCTCTGGCAGGACTCACTCAGCAGCTTCCATGCTCATACTGTCTAACTGCGTTGGGTTTATATTCCTGCATCAGCAGCCTGACAAAGTCACTGTTAGAGACCTTTGGGGCTGTGGGTACTGAAAGCCTGCAGCTTAAGTCTGTGTCAGTCTACCCAGGCCCCAGGCAGCCTTTGCAATATTGCTAGCTTGCATCTAAAAGAGTGCTTCTGCCAGGGCTCCGTGAGGCATGCAGGGCAGGTTTGGTGGACAAGGAAATTCAGGCAAAGAGTGGGTCCGTGGACGTGTCCACTGTTATTGAGCTAGTGGATGGCGGTGCCAGTACAGAACCCAGATTCTCCGATTCTTGATCCACTACTCTGTGCAATATTCTTAGCTATTCTTGTGGCAAAGGCTCGTGAAGAGACACATGTGAGTGATTTCACGCAAGGTATCTCATAATATGATCACTAACTTATCTTCTGATAGTCTGAAACTTTTATTATCAGTGTCTAAGTCATCCATGGCTCCTCCAATAATGGTTGCATTAAGAGACTGAATGAAAGTCAGTCTTGTATTTCAGCCTTTCTTAACTCTAGTGATGCTGGGAAATCTATAGATGTGATTCTTCTGGTGAGTATAAACTCAGGCCACTGACAAGTGTTTTAGGCTAATATTGTGCAGTTATGACTGAGTCTAAGCAACGTAAATAATTGTACAGAAGAAGGAATCTTGCAGCCTAATAAACTAAATAATGCACTCAGAGAGCTTAAATGGAGGAGGGTGAAATAAATGGGGGAAATGTACACGGTTTTGTCCTGAATTACACTGTAGTGGCTTTGCTATTAGCTAATATAATAGTGAGTAGGTGTCATTACATTTTATGGTAGAGTTATATTTTCCATTTTATCCTTTTATATACTAAAAATTAGCAATGTTATCTCCTTTTGCCTAGGACTACAGGATAGCCACTACAGAACAAACAATCAAATTGCCCTTAAAAATCTCCAGTCTGATGTTACAGAGAAGAAATCTGACTTCACTGAGGTAACCTACACTTCTAACTTCTAGAGTCGTCAGTAGAATGCACTCAACTGTAAAACATAATCTCAAGCCTACTTGTGATGTGATTGTATTTTATCTTGTTTAGTCAAAAAATTGAATTAATGCAGTAGAAAATCTAACCACCACTGACTAAGACTTGTTATGTGAAAGTATGCATGAGATATTTAATTTTTCTTTTGTAATCTCCACCAATTATTTGTCAATTTGCAGTATCACAGGAAAACATGGTGATTGCCCTCAATTTTCAAACAAAATTAATCTACCGGAGAGGAGAGAAAGGGAGATGAGGGGTGGAAGGGTGGAGGGGGAGATAGAGAGAGAGAGAGAGAGAGAGAGAGAGAGAGGAGAGGAGAGGAGAGAATGGTGCCATATAGCATTTTGAAGGTGATAAAGAGGTACTTTGGAATCAAACAAGCTAGCTTAGGTTGCCATAACTGCAAAAATGTCAGTCATCTGAACTAGAGAAAGAAAACGAGAGGGCATATTTATAAAACGAAATGTTTCAGATCCTAGGGAAAAAGAGCAGTGGCTAATATTGTCAACTTGTCACACAGCAGTCTCTAATTGACTGGCTCAGTTCATCCTTCTCACGGCCCTGGGAGGTAGGCTCTGCTCTTATACCTATTTTGCAGATGAGAAAAGTAAAGCTTCGGTCAGTGACTTGACCGAAATCTCACGACTCCCATAAGCTGTCTGGCTCCGGAGCTTCTGCTTTTAACTTGCTCTAAAGAACTGTCCTAGAGAAAGCCTCAATCCAGTTAACAGAGTTTATAGGATGGACTCTTTCATCTTAAAAAACTGTCTGAGGTGTTTCAGTTTTCAAGGCACCTAGTGTCTGTCACAGAAGGAGAATCTACAGCCAACTTTTGCAATTCCAGGAGAGAGAATGGAATTAAAATAATCTCATGATAGATTACAGTAGCAAAGATATGTGTTACTATATATATATATATATATATTATATATTTCACTTAAAATACTTGTCTTAGGTATTACTTTGATTTAGTTTTGCATTTAATAAAGCTTAACATTTCTCTCAAAGACCCCAGGCTCAAAATCCCACAAGATGGTGAAAGGGTGTTATTTGAGGTCCTGAGATTTAGTCATCAATATTTAAAGCCGTCTCTATGTGGAAGCACCAAGCTCACTGTCTCAAGATATAAAGATGCATAGCTACAATTAATTTGTTCCCTGCGAGCAGGAGCAGGAACCCTGGGTTTCAAGAGGAAAATGAGTAGGTGGAGCAGTAGATCACTGAGAGCCGTCCCTGGGAGGAGATGCTGGTCAGAAGGAGACAGGAATGAGTCAGGGAGGGTGTGGGAGTGATACCTGCTGAGGGCCATCACTACTCTTTTGAAGAAAGGTACCCACTGACATCTTTCCCACCTGCGTTTCACATTGTGCTGGCAAATGTCAACATCTTCCTGTTGTCAAAATTAATCAGAGTTTAGTTACTGATGGTGGTATAGATGTTTGGGGTGGTATGGCTGAATCCCTGTCTCTCTCTCTCTCTCTCTCTCTCTGTCTCTCTCTCTCACACACACACACACACACACACACACACACACACTCTCTCTCTCTCTCTCTCTCTCTCAGGATTGGTCATTATCTGTACCTGAGTTCAATAACTCCTGGTAATGATACCTTCTGAATATCTGCCCTAGAATCATTTGGATCATCTAATTTGGTCAGTAGTGTGACTTTCTTTTTTTTTTTTGAGTCAGAGTCTCACTGTCGCCCAGACTGGAGTGCAGTGGCCACTCCCGGCCACCGCAGCCTCGACCTGCTGGGCTCCGGCGATCCTTCCGCCTCAGCCTTCCAAGTAGCCGGAATTACAGGCATGCACTACCATGCCCGGCTGATTTTTGATTTCTTGTAGAGATGAGTCTCGCTGCCCAGGCGGGTCTCGAACCCGCGGGCTCAGGCAATCCACTCACCTCAGCCTCCCAAAGGCGCGGGATTACAGGCTGAGCCACCGAGCCCGGCTAGTAGTGTGACTTTCAAACTTCCCTCCACACTTCCTGCTTTTAAAGCCTGCCCCCTGGGTGGGTGTTATAAGGCTGCTGTAAGATGATGAAACGTGCCAATAAATGTCCTACTCTGGGACTGCTGTCAGTCTTTACCTCCAGAACCTGCACCAGATGGATTATTTTTTCTTCCCAAATGCATTCAAGCTGCAGTAGTGAAATGAAGGCACCTTTTCTGCCACATGACTATTCAAAGCAAGTAGAATATGGAACAGAATTTTCTTCTTTAAAAAAAATTTAAATTTCCTCATATTAAAAGTAATGGCAACCCCATGCAGAAACTTAGGAAAATATAAAAATATTTAAATAAGAAAACATACGTAAAATTTTCCCTCTTATTTTGTCCATACACTTTTTTAATTATTGTTTTTTTATTTTACAGATGTGGGGTACAATTCAGGGTTAGATATGCAAATGTTCATTATCCAGATACCCTTGGTAACGAGGTGTGTCTCCCCTCCCCTGGCAATTTCCCACTACTGCCAATCCCTTTCTTATAGTATTACGATCGTTGTTCAAGTTTCGCTTATGAGTGAGAACATGTGGTACTCGGTTCTTTGTGAAAGATCACTCAGAATTATAGCCTCTAAGTCCATCCAAGTTGCTGTGAAGTCCATAATTTTGTCCTTCTTTATGGCTGCGTAATATTCCATCATGTATATGTACCACCTTTTTTTTAAATCCAGTCCTCTTTTGATGGACAGCATGTTTGATTTCATGTTTTTGCTATTGTGAATAATGCTGCAATAAACATGCGTGTGCAGGCGTCTTTTTCATAGAGTGATTTGTGTTCCTCCGGGTATATTCGCAGTAGGGGGATTGTGGTGTCACATGGGTCCATATGCTTTTAGTGTACACAAAAGTCAAGGGCACGCAAACCTGTATAGTCCTCTTGAAGTGTGTAATATCCCCTCAGAAGCATTTCCTATGTCATTTAAATCACTGTAATTTTTGTTTTTAACTTCTGCCAAATATAAGATGCAGTTGAGCATAACACTCTTCCTTTTAAAAAAGCAATTCTTGGTGGTTTTCAGAGGGTTTCCATTTGTCTTAAAACTGTCTTTCCCTGTTGCTACATACCAGAGTGAATTCATACATTAGAAAATGTTCTTCCACTTGGGATGAAATGCCACCAGACTAACAGATTACCTAGTGATAATGATTCCAGATCAACTAAACGGAGGAAGACAAGTTCGCAGCAAATGTGGAGGAGACTTCAGAGACATCTGTGAGAAGGGAATGAGAAGTTATTGTTTAAAGGGCACAGGGTTTCAGTTTTACAAGATGAAAAGAGTTCTGGAAATGGGGATGGTGATGGTAGTACACCATTATGAATGCGTTTCATACCACTGAATTGTACACTTAAAAATGACTGAGAAGGTAAATTTTAGGTTATGCATATTTTACCACAACAAAAAAGGGGAAATTTTTGATTATTGCTAGTTTTTTATTGCTGTATATCACACTGCATTGAATCTTTTGCTTTTAGTAACTACACAGAAAGACAAAAGTTTCACAAGAGAGTGAGGAAAGCTCAGCCTTCTCCATTTGTCTTAAAACTGTCTTTCCCTGTTGCTACACACCAGAGTGAATTCATACATGAGAAAATGCTCTTCCATTCGGGATGAAATGCCACCAGGTTGACAGATTACCTAGTGATAATGATTCCAGATCAACTAAATAGAGGAAGGCAAGTTTGCTGCCAGCGTGGAGGTGATTTTCAGGGACATCCACGGCAAGAGATATCCAAAGACTCCACCAGGCAAATGCCGTGGTAGGTTGCTAGGTTGCAGAACAGCATCAGAGTAGAGATCAGATTAGATGCTTACTTTTCAGAAAAAATGATTTGCTACTGGAAGGAGGCATCCTTACTCCAGTGGCTCTGGATCTGATTTCTCTGATTATCTGCCATGTGTCTCCTTATTTCAATTTGCAGAATTATGCCCTTCTTAGAAATATCTCTCGGCTGGGCTCGGTTGACTCAACCTATAATCCCAGCGCTTTGGGAGGCTGAGGCGAGTGGATTGCCTGAGCCTATGGGTTCGAGACCCACCTGGGCAACTTGGTGAGACCTCATCTCTATAATAAATAAAAAACTAGCCGGGGTGGTAGTGAGCACCTGTAATTCCGGCTCCTTGGGAGGCTGGGGCAGAAGGATCACCGGAACCCAGCAGGTCAAGGCTGCAGTGGCCGGGAACGTGCCACTGCACTCCAGTCTGGGCGACAGAGTGAGACTCCAACACAAAAAAATAAATAAATAAATACATAAATAAATACATATCTCTCAAGGCATAAATATAAAGTTAAAAGAGTCAATAAAAAGCCCAAAACTATGAAAGCAGTGACCAGCACTACAAAAATCATGTTTGAAATATTGAAAAGAAATCAGTATCTTAAAGCAGCATCTATGAGAAAGAAAATGTAAAAAATGTGTTGTCCAGTAATGGTCAGAAAATGGACACCAGACCCACCTATTCATCTGACCTCTCTCTCACTTGAACGTCTTACTTTAAACATGATATGATGTTTTTCCTCCTCCCAAATCAAATCTTATGTCAGTTAATTTTATGTTAGATGAAAGAAATCTCTTTGTAGAGTCATGTTTAGTTAACCCAGTATGAAGGCAGATAGAGTGTCACCCTGAAATAGCTTAATTTAGGAAGATATTTGATGTAAATGATGTAATTGCTTTCTAATGAAAATTTGCCCAGTTTTAAAAATAGTAGGCTGACTTAGGAACATTAAATACTCTCCCCTGCCCCCCCACCCCGTCTCTTTCTTGTTTCCCAGACCCCAAAGAGGAATTCAACACAAAGAATGTGCTGTAGTCTGTTAGGGACTGAATCGTGTGCGCACCCCCCACCCATATATATATGTTGAAGTCGTATCCCCTACATCCTCAGAATGTGGCTGCATTTGGAGAGGGGGTCTTTAAAGAGGTGATTAAGGTTAAATGAGCTCATTAGGGCGGACCCTAATCCAATCTGACTGATGTCCTAATAAGAAGAAAAGATTAGGATCCAGACACAGGACAGAGGGAAGACCATATGAAGATGCAAGAAGACAGCCATCTACAAGCCAGGGGGAGAGGTCTTAGAAGAAACTAACCCTGTCAAGAACTTAATCTCAGACTTCCAGTCTGTAGAGCTGAGAAAATAAGTTTCAGTTGGTTAAGCCACCTAGAGTGTGGTACTTTGTTATGGCAGCCCTAGCAAATTCATATAGATTTTTAAGAGGTTGGACCTTATCTCTGATTACTTGATGGGTATAACTGAGAAAATAGGATTTGATAAATAGAACTTCCCATTCAAAAGTAGCATGTATTAGCAAAAAGTCCACTAGAGTTTCCTTTTTAATTTCTCTCAGTTTGTCTGTTTGGAACTTTTGTCAAAGTTGTATCTAAATGCTGGGAAAAAACATGGCACCTAGCACATAGTAGGTGCCCAAATAAATCTGTAGAATGAGTGATAAACAAATGGTTTGACCATGACTGTCTATTATGAGTAATGGAATTGCATCTAAAAAAAATCACACTGATTCTACATTTCTATCCGCAAAATTTCAATGGTTGGATATATAATAAGTTATTTCTATTGACGCAATTAAGATACACTCAAATGCATTCACTGTAAATTCCATTGATATATGGTATAACTTTGATATAAATACCCCTCATTCCTCTGTAGGTTTGAGTATGTCAGATACCCACAGATTTCTGCTTGATCATAGGAGAGTAATACCCTAGAGTTACATCACATGCTCACTATTTTTTTTTTTTTTTTTGAGTTGGAGTCTCACTCGGTCGACCGGACTGGAGTGCAGTGGCCGCTCCCGGTCACCGCACCCTCAACCTGCTGGGCTCTGGTGATCCTTCCGCCTCAGCCTTCCGAGTAGCTGGAATTACAGGCATGCGCTACCACGCCCGGCTGATTTTTTGATTTATTGTAGAGATGAGGTCTTGCTGCCCAGGCGGGTCTCGAACCCGCGGGCTCAGGCCATCCACTCACCTCGGCCTCCCAAAGGCGTGGGATGACAGGTTGAGCCACCGAGCCCGGCACACGCTCACATTTTGAGAGGCACTTTCATGTCCTCCACGTTCTTTGGTCTCCATACCTTTCCTGTGAGTTGGAGGGGGCACGTAGATTTTTCTTTGGAGCTGACATACATCAGTATTTATCCCCCAGGAACAGTGTCACCCTGACGTCTTGAGTGATCCCAGGGCCTCAGAAATAAGCTCAAGTGCATGCAGTTTATTATTACTCTTCCTTCATTCAGCTGCATCTGATAGAGTCAAAAATCACAGTTACACTATGTAACGAGATGGTGGCTGATTGCTTGTCCCATCTTCTGGGACTCTAAATTTCTTCTGGAGAAACAACCCCTTAGCATAGCCCTGGAGTATTCCCGCAGCATGCCAGTCCAAGGCTCTGGCCGTGGCTTTGTCTCGCTCTAGGCATGGAGCCAGGTCGGCATTGCCAGAGTCAAGTCTTTCCCAACCTTGTTCCAGACTGATGTGGCATCCCTCATTTTCAGCAGCACGCACTTTGTTTATACCAAGGCCAAGACTCTCATGGGGATCCTGAGCCCAAAGGGTTGGAGTACCCTCTTGGTGTCTGAGGCCACAACTGAAACAGCCTGGAAGAACATTCCCTGCAAGAATCACCTCTTCTCCTGGCTCTACAACTGTGGCCGTCAAGGCCCTGTCCAAGGTCCTGTAGCTGTGTGGGGAGCCCCGAGCTCAGGCTGGACCCCATGTGGCCTGAGCCAGAGTCCAGCATCCTTCCCACTATATCTGTGCAGAAGAATCAACTAGAAACTGGTTAAAAAATACAGATTCTGGGCTTTCTCCCCATAGATGCAACCTAGGCTCAAGAAGGGAGGGCTCTACAAACGTGCATTTTTACCCCCCAGCTCCAGGTGTTCTTTTGCGGATAGTCAGTGGTGCACTCTTTGGGAAAAACTGCACTATAAAATAATGCCGATAATGCAGTTTCTTCAAACACTGGTGTCAAACGAGTTCCTACTGGGTATGATTATGCACCTCGTAGGGTGCACAGGAACAATTATTATGGGAACTAAATTTAACTAAAATGCATACCAAGTGAAATAGGCGGCAGGTGCGCTTGAGTTTTCTTGTATGTAAACTCCAGCCGTCAAAGGTGGGAGGAGGACAGAGGAAGCATGAGGCTGCTGGAATCATGCTGGAAACCTTAAAAAAAAACACTGGTGCGTGGGCCTCCCTACCCAGAGATTCTAATGTAATTGTTTCGGGATGAGACCTGGGCATCCGAGCTTGGATGAGCTCCCAGGTGACTTAGCAGCCCTGGATGAGAACTGATGCTCTCAGCAGAGCCTGGCTCCAACCAAGGGACACCTGGTGCGAGCCGGAAGTGTCAGACAGCCCTTAGGCTAAAAGAGGAGGCTGAATGTCCCCATTCTTGACTCAGTGCTTCTGCATGGACTGCGTGTTTAGGAAAAGCATAGGCAGGGATATTTTGATTTTTGTTTTTTTGTTTTGTTTTTTGAGTTGGAGTCTCACTCTGTCGCCCAGGCTGGAGGGCAGTGGCACGCTCCTGGCCACTGCAGCCTCGACCTGCTGGGCTCCGGCGATCTTTCCACTTCAGTCTTCCACCAAGTAGCTGGAACCACAGGTGCGCGCTTCCATGCCCGGCTAATTTTTTGATTTATTGTAGAGACGAGGTCTTGTCAAGTTGCCTGGGCAGGTCTCGAACCCGCGGGCTCAGGCAATCCACTCACCTCGGCCTCCCAAAGTGCTGGGATGACAGGCTGAGCCACTGAGCCCAGCCTGATTTTTTTTTTTTAAGGTAATTTTTGAAATGGCTCTCCTATCCATTGCTTTTTCCCTCATCTCTGTTATCTGTTAAGTATGCAACTTTCCATATATCTTTAAAAAAAATAACCACGTGTAAGGTAACAGAGGTAGTCATGAAAAACAACCCTCTTCCCATGCCTGACAGGACACAGAGCTTCTCACATTGCTAAGATCACACACGCTGGTTCTCCTGTGGCCATGAGGACTTGCAGTGTTAAAAGTCCAGCAAGAGGAGAGAATTCAATGATTTGAATAAATGAATATTAATCCTGCTCTGAAGAAAAGAAAGATGCCACTGTGCTTGCTCTCTCATCTTGTGAAGAGCAAACGCTCTGCTACCAATATACACAAGACATTTCCCTCCAAATAGTTTTCTCTTGAATTGAAATGCAGATGCCTGGGTCCCACCCACAGTCTACAGAACTGGAATCTCTGGAGCTTGGGGAAGCCTGATGTTGTAACATCCCACATGATTCTCCTGCATGTTGAGGTTTGAGAGCTGCTGCTTTAAAAGCTAAGCACCCCAGTTTTGCCTTTGGGCTTCCAAAGCGAAGATTCTTTGCGAGTAGCAGGAGTTCAGTAGTTACTGGTATTATTTTAGATCTTGCACAATTCCACACAAGGGTTTATTTTAAGCATGTATAACAGTGAACATCAAAACGGGGGACCAGGACACCCTGTTATCATGCACTAAGTGCTGGGGTATATTAGGTATCCCATGTTATTTTCTGCAGTGCTTTATACATAACCATATTCAAAACAAAATGAGGACAGAGGAGATTTCTTCTTCCTGGTCTTGACCTGGTTGGGTGCTTCATTAAAAATCATAGTACATTGTTTTGGACACACTAGTAATTTACCAGTAGGACATGCGATCTGCTGATTAGGAAGAATGAAATGCTTTGATCGTTTAAAAATGATTACTACACGAAAAGTCATGCTTATGCAGCTGATGATTTAAATGCTGTAAAACCATAGATGTGTCTTGATCCAACTCCCCCCGCCACCTCCAATTCTGATATATGAAATCAGCTGATTGTCACAGTGTTGGTCTAGGCAAACTTGGGCACTTAATTTCTATGGTTTTGCTCTTGGGGCTCTGACTCTTGTGGTGACAAGCAGCAGGGAGTGACTGAATTGGAGCCTAAACCAGCAAAGGTGAAGGACTGTAAAGGACTGAGACAGGGAGGATGCTTTCCCTAATCGCATCGACTGGTTCCTTGCAGGAGTGCTGACTCATCTCTCACGTAAACCTGCACCCCCAAGGTCCAATCCATCTCCAGAATTCCGACTTTCCTCTCCATTGAGATTGTGAACCTGTATTGGGAGGCACCTGGCCTTGGTGGAGGCGATTATCGGAATTAGATGAGATCCCCATGGACACATCATTAAATAGCCTAAAATAGACACCCAGCAGAGAAAACCAATTCACCAGTCAGGCTAATGTTTCCAGAACATGTAACTTTTTATAAACAGGTCTGGGGTAGCCGGGCTCGGTGGCTCAGCCTGCAATCCCGCGCCTTTGGGAGGCTGAGGTGAGTGGATTGCCTGAGCCCGCGGGTTCGAGACCTGCCTGGGCAGCGAGACCTCATCTCTACAATAAATCAAAAAATCAGCCGGGCGTGGTAACGCACGCCTGTCATTCCGACTACTCGGAAGGCTGAGGCGGAAGAATCGCCGGAGCCCAGCAGGTGAGGCTGCAGTGGCCGGGAGCGGCCGCTGCACTCCAGTCTGGGCGACAGAGTGAGACTCCAACTCAAAAAAAAACAACAAAAACAAAAACAAAACAGGTCTGGGTTTTCTGTCCTTTGGAATACTGAAAGGTGACATCAGGTGTACAGTAAAAAGCCTTAGATGAGAAAGTTGGAGGATTATAAACCAAGTTCTCTGGTGTCCCGGTGGCCCTTGAGTGACCGTTTACTGTTTTATTACTACAGACTGCTTGAATAACAGATCTTTTTCCATTTGCAGGAAACCGTGGCATCACACAATACTAAAATGATTTCATCCATAGTCGTCTCCCAGATGTTTGACGAGAACAAATCAAAACAAAATGGGCCCTCGTTACCGCTATCCTGTGTGATCCCTCAGCCTCGTGCGGATCACCGGGAGCCATCTCTGGCTCACCGCAGCGGAGTCAACATTCACAGGGCATTTGCGTTACTTCCGGGCAGATCAGGAATTCCAGCACCATCAGATGAGCAAGGACCTGAGACGGACCTGCCACCCAAAGAGGAGAACCCCCGGGGTGACCCCCACAAGGGGTTTTCGTCCATCACTATCACGGCCAGGCGTGTGGGCCCACCAGCCAGGGCCCTGGTGTGGGGGACCGTGGGGGACCCTCTGTGTCCCAAGTGCAGGACTGAGGACACTCTGCTCCATGACTCCCCGCCTCTGGTTAATGATACCCATCCGCATCCGCTCCATAGATCTTTTTCCTGCACAGAGTTCTCCAGAAATGGCTCCATGGTGAGGTTGAAGTTTCCTGAGACCCGTGCACGACTGAGTGAGGGACGTGAGTACTGGGTCACCCATGTGGATGACAAAGAGACAAATTTTTCTCCAGACACCTCCTTGTCAGGCAAGGGGCCACTGGTGTTCAGTTCCTGTGTCCACCTCAGGGTGTCTCGGCAGTGTCCGAATTCAATCTACTGTGTAGACGAGTCTGTCTCTGTCCCTACGGCACCGCCTCAAATTGCCAACCCCAAAATGCACAGATCCGTCCTGTCACTCAACCTCAATTGTAGTTCCCATAGAATAACAGCAGATGGAGTAGATGGCATAGCGAACGGAGAGCCAATAAGCAGAGCCCTGAAGCAGGAATTCACAAAGGGAAACCAAAACCTCCTAGGCCCGCGCTGGAACCCAGATTTACAAGCAACTCACTTGAAGGAAAACCCATCGTTGGGACGGGTGCATTTGGGGACCGGCACCTGTCCTTGGAGTGACTCCCCTCTGCTGGAAAACTCAGAGTTTGCAGATGTGGAAACCAACCAGGTCACTGTAAAAAAATGGAAAGAGTACCGTTCAACTCCCTGTCACGCCAGTGGCCATGCCAACCAGCTGTCCATTCACATTCCTGGCTGGAGTTACACAGCAGGTGAGTGGGGAGTCCATCCAAAGGGAGCGATCAGTGTACACGTCCTGCTAAGGTGGATGCTAGGTGAGTTTCTTCCATGTAATTTATTCCAGGAGGCATTTCTCAGTAGCGTTGCTTTGATCTGCGCCGCTGGAGGTTGCTCAGTGTTGATGTCTGATTGGGTAGGTTTTCATAGATGAGACTTTCGTAGCCTATGAGAGACCTTCCCTCAAATTCTTGTTTCCAGTAGTTCTAGACCATATGTAATGAATAGGAAATGATGGCCCCCAAAGGAAGTTAATTGACACCATGCCTGAATCACGTTCCAAAACAGGGTGAGAAGAGCCAACTGCCATCCGCTCCCAGATGTTTCATCTCTCTGGTGCCAAACACCTGCATATTTGGTAGTGTCCAGAATTCCGCACTTTTTACTTTTCAATCATGAAGTTGGTACTTCTGAGTTAGCTTCATAAATATCATAAAAACCTAGACCGCAAAGCTCCACAGTGGAGTGTATGCGCATGACAGTGTGTGTGTGTGTGTGTGTGTGTGTGTGTGTGTTTGTGTTGTGTTTGTGTGTGTGTGTTTGTGCGTGCGCACGCACGCGTATAGCAATTATAGGACATTTTCTAAATGCGGCAAGTCAGGAACTCTCCGTGCCAAATGGCACCAATCGCAGCAATTTTCTGTCTCCCTACTTGCGTCTTCTGGCATTTGTTGCTGTTTCTGCCATTTTGAGGGCCAGACAGAATTGCCGAGGTGGGCTGCCCTGAGGACTCTTCACAATGAAAATCTACCCAATCAGACGTCAGCACTGAGAATTTCTTGGGAAATTGAAAGAGGAAAGCAAGCCTCTTTAGGAGGAAAGAGGCCAGATTTTTCTTTCTCTGGTGTAAACATCTGATTTTCAATTCTATTTCCTGTGAGAGACTCTGGTTTATGAATTAGTGACTTTCCATTCGGAGAAAACACTTAAAGATAATAGTAGTAAAATCGAAAATGCAGAATGTGCATAACAATTTCACAGTTGCAATTTCTGTCTGTTCATGTTTTATTAATTAATAAAAATGACTGTGAGACATTTAAAGTTATAATGTGCATAGCAATGTTAAATGATGTAATTAATTTTAACAAGTGTATATATATATTGAATGCTCAGATAATTTGAGGGCAATTTTGACATGGTTTTCAGATTGATGAAACCATTGAAACGCCTGGATCTTACAGACTTATTACAAGAAGGAAAAACGTAAGCTGCCGTCAGTGTTCCAAAGATAAATCCCCCTTTCGTCTTTAAAGAGATTGCTCAGTCTAAGCGCTTCCTCTTCCATCTTGATGAAGATTCCAGAAATGCACAACCTGTATTGTTGTCTGTTACCACAGTTGAAGCACATCCTTGTTTTTACACCGTGTCTCATGGTGTGAAATAATCATTTGGATTTATAGCACTCCTCCTCAAAGGTTCTTTTTTTTTTTTTTTTTTTGAGTCAGAGTCTCACTCTGTCGCCCAGGTTGGTGAGCAGTGGCACGCTCCTGGCCACCGCAGCCTCAACCTACTGGGCTCAGGTGAGCCTTCCGCCTCAGCTTTCCAAGTAGCTACAGGTACGCACCACCACACACCAGGCTAATTTTTTGATTTATTGTTTTTGATTTATCACCAAGTTTCCTAGGCTGGTCTCAAACCCTTGGGCTCAGGCAGTCCTCTGCCTCGGTCTCCCAAAGTGCTGGGATTACAGGCGTGAGCCACAGCGCCCAGCCACCAAGAGCTCTTTAAAAGTAGCTAGAGCTAGATTTCAGACATTCATCTCAGAGGAGAGAAGCAAGAGTGACGAAATATTTCCCAACTTACTTTTTTGGCTTTGGTGCAGAGAAGATTTTTTAAACGATGATTTTGTGAAATGATGACTCCTGCAAGATATTTTATTAGGCAAATAGTACAAGTTAATTCTGTGTCCCACAGGCCGGCATCCCTCGGAACAACCATCAATCCCAAAGATTCACGTGTGGAGTACCTGAGTGGTCCTAAATCATGGGGTCTTTTTCTATATCATCTGAGGAAAGAGACATTCCTCAGAAGCATCTTGAAAACCATTTTTAGAGTCGCTGACCTATTATTTCCAGCTCAGTGAATGTGTACAAGTGACACTCCCCAAATTCATTTCCTCATCTGGGTAACTAGAGCAGAGGGTGAGACCGAGTGTTCTTGAAGCTTCCTTCGAGCTTAAATACATTTCTGCTTTATTTGCCTGCAGTGGACTCTGAAAGGAAAAGAGACTGCATGTGACTCTGGTCCCCTCAGGCACAAAGACCAAAGCCGAGAGCCCTGGGGTCCACGGTTTGAGGCCAGTGCCTCAGATGTATCCAAACGCACGGTGACACTGACACACGCATCCGTGTGCCGTGTGCTGCTGTCTCACTCCGAAACTAATTTTCAGGGGACTGCATTTCTTCTCAGATGACAAGAAAGCACATCTGTCCATGCTGCAGTGTTCTTGCCTGAAATTTGCAAGAACAGCTCATTGACTCTAATGACCACAGGCTGTCCTAGCACAATCTGCACGATGTTTGGAGGGTGATCTTGCTGACCTTCAGTCTTGACAAAGTCTTTTAGCCTTAATGCAAGTGCTTTCAGACCCCGGCAATGCTCATTAAAACTCAGAGGAGCTGTTTATATTTTCCCGTCTGAAACTGGAATCTTATCTGAGGCATTCTTGACAGCCTCCTGCGGTTACACATGCTATTAACGGTCTCCATACTTCATAGTTACTGAATCTGATTCTTTTTATCTGAAGGATTCCAAAATACCTCATGAGCAGGCTCCTCTGTTGGCTGCTTGCTGATATTCAGCTGCTTGGTAGGTACAGACTGGGAGAGTCTACCGACAGAGGCAAGGCAAATTTCAGTCCTAGTCATTAGGTCACTGGACAGAAAGTTCTACAGATTGTACTCTTGAACGAGCTTCCAGGATATACACCCAGAAAGATTTCTAGGATTCAGGAAAATGGGATACTTACAGATTGCACAATAAAAATAGGCTGTCTGCTGGAATGTAGCAGTCTAGTAGACATGTGGGGACCCGTTCTCCATTCAGGGGCTGAGGGTTTAACCATTGTTTCTCTCTCTCTGCTGGTCTCCTTGGTCCCTGCGTGTTTGAACTTTACATCTCTACTGTTAGCAAGCATTCTGCTAACCCCATGTATGTGGTCATTGTACAAATCCCCACATCTTTTTATGTATATATTTAAAATTTTTTTTTTAATTTTAAAGATGTGGGGTTCAATTCAGGATTAGGTATACAAAGGGACTCATGCAGGTAATGTTTGGGTCTTCCTTTGGTCCCCACTCTGCCTGGTTTGAGATCAGGTACCCTTATGATGATATGTTCCTCCTCCCTACCCTGGCAGTATCCTGCTACTGCCAATTCCTTTCCGATAGAATTATGATAAATGTTCAGGGTCCACTTATGAGTGAGATCATGTGGTACTATGTCCTTTGTTTCTGTGATAGATCACTGGGTATGATAGACTCTAAATCCATCCAAGTTGCTGCGAAGTCCGTATATTTGTCCTTCTTTATGGCTGTATAATAATATTCCATTTTGTATATGTACCACATTTTTTTAATCCAGTCTAGCTTCGATGAGCAGCATGGTTGCTTCCATGGTTTTTCTATTGTGAATAGTGCTATAATAAACGTGTGTGCAGGTATCTTTTTTGTAGACTGCTTTGAGTTCCTCCAAGTATATTCTCAGTAGAGGGCTTGCTGGGTCATATGGAAGGTCAATTTCTATTTCTTTCAGAAATCGCCACTGTTTTCCATAGAGGTTGAACTAGTTTGCATTCCCACCAGCAGTGTAGAAGTGTTCTCTTTTCTCCGCATACTCACCAGCATCTGTTTTTT